TCCCCGATACCATGAGCTGCTGCGAGAGGCCACGGAGGCTGCCGAGTACCAGACCGCGCTGGAGGGCTGGACAGTGAGCGGGGCCGGCGGGGCGGCCCACGGGAGGGCGTGGGGGGGGGCAAGGCGGGGCAGGGAGGGCTGAGGAGGCCCATCAGACTCACGCAGCCCCGGTGCATCCAGGACTTCCTGACTCACCTGGAGAACTACACGGGGCTGTCGCTGGTCGGAGAGCCGCTCCGCAGGGCGTGGAAGGTTCTAGACACACTGATGTGCCAGGTGAGCCCCCGCCCCACCCACCCAGCCCAGTGATTAAGGGCACCTGGATTCAAATCCCAGCTTTGCTGCTCACTACCTGTGTTCCCTCAGGCCAGTCACTCAACCCTTGGTGCCTCAGTTTGCCCATCTGCACAGTGGGGAGAGCAAAACCCGTTACAACACCCTTTGGGGTTTCTGTGAAGATCAAAACGGGTTAATGCACGCGATGTGCTTAGAACAGTGCCTGGCACACAGTGAGGTCTGCAGGAAGGCTTGAGGCTACGTGTTTGTCATTCCTCCTCTGTTAGTTCTCTTGTGGGAAAAGCTCCCAAACCCCAAAATTGAGGAGCCGGTGCTGACGTGAATCGGCGTGATGCTCTTCAGATAGATAGTCTTTGCTTACCCCATTCCATGAGAATTATCCTAGTTGCACGGTGGGAATTAGCAGTGTGTGTGATTAAGCGGGTTGCCCAACCCCCACTGAGGGAGATGGTATTGCCACCACGGGAACCTTCTAGATTCCAAAACATCTGAAGTTTGAAACACCTCTGGCTCCGTGCATGAGGGCTCCTGGGTTGTGGGGTGATGGTCATTATTATTGTTAATTAATGATCGCTACTGGCCATGACTTCCGGACCAGACCCAGGCCATGAGGGGTTCGGAAGAGGGGTGGGAGAGAGGACTGCAGCTCAGGGGACAGCAGAGGCACTGGGAAGGCCTGAGGGGACGTGACGAGCTCAGGATACCCCAGTCACTCTGTCTCCTCTCCCTGTCTCTCTCCAGCAAGCCCATGGTCTTCCCCTCCCATCCTGGGCCTCCCCGAGTGTCCTACGGACACTAGCCGAGATCTCAGCTTTGGATACTGGGGCCCACGTGGGTCCACCCCGGGCAGCCGAGAAGGCCCAGCTGACAGGGGGTGAGGTGTGGGGCTGGGAGGCTGGGAGGCCAAAGCACCTTCCTCGGGGGGACCCTCAGCACTCTGTTCTTGCCCTCTCAGGGGTCCTGCTGGATGCCATCCTTGCCAACTTCTCTCGGGTCCAGCGCCTGGGGCTGCCCCTCAAGATGGTTATGTACTCAGCTGTGAGTCTTTGGGAAGGGAGGCAGTGCCACGTGGGCACAGGGATGAGGGGGATGGCAGATGGCAATGTGGGTGAGGAAGAGCTGGTGGGTGGTGTCAGTGGAACTTCAGCCCACTGCCCTGGGTAACTCATATCTCCAAACCATACTCTCAGACCATATCATTAGAGGTACGCAGTCTGGAACGAGGGAGGTGATGGTGTTATAAGAGAATTTAGGTCTTCTGGAAGGACAAGCTGTTTAACTGAGCTGCCTGATCATATTTTTGCATCTCTTTGACCAATGTTCATTAAAGGATCCCCTGTAACTGGTGGATCTGCCTCCAGGATGAGCCGATTTGGGGGTGGGGGTTAGTTCTAAGAGATCTGAGGGACATCTGGGAGGAAGCCAGATATACAAATCTAGAGTTCAGGAGAGAGGAGACATCAAGAGAAGAGCCGTGGCTCAGCCCTGGGATCCACCTGCAGCACGACAGCACTCTGCTGGCCCTCCAGGGAGCCCTGGGTCTCTATGACGGGCACACCCCACCATATGCAGCCTGCCTCGGCTTTGAATTCCGGAGGCGCCTCGGGGACCCGGACAAAGATGCAGGGTAAGGAGGGGGTGGCGCCCGGGAATGGGCAGGACAGAACTGTCTCAAGAGAGATGGGGTTCCAGGTGGAGGGGGATTTGTGTGGGACGGCACGAGGAGGTTGACAGGTAGGACTCGGGAGCCCAGTGCCTCCCATTTGGCTGCTCCCCTCCAGATTTAAGGCAGTGGCGGGGGAGGCGAGGAGGGGCCCGGGTGCCACCACCTCCTGTCTTCCCCCAGGAACGTCACCATCTCTCTTTTCTACCGCAACGACTCCACCGGCCTGCCCCTGCCCCTCAGCCTTCCCGGGTGCCCACGTGCCTGCCCGCTAGGCCGCTTCCGCCAGCTCACCGCCCCCGCCCGGCCTCCGGCTCACGGGGTCCCCTGCCACGGCTCCCCTGAGCCTGCCACCCCTGCAGGTGACGGCCACTGGCACTGGGGTGGGAGTGTAGGGGGCCCCAGGTCCCGAGACTCACACTCCCGTGTTCTCCCTGCAGCCACTGTGGTGCCCCTGCTGGCCGGGGCTGTGGCAGTGCTGGCAGTGCTCAGCACGGGGCTGGGCCTGCTGGCCTGGAGACCCAGCTGCCTGCGGGCCTGGGGGGGGGCCGTGTGAGCTGGGAGCCCGGGCACCACCCCCCCCCCACAGCTGGCACTGCATCCCAACACGTCTGCTCCCCCCGCGGCTTTGGCTTCCGTGACTTACTGCGTGCGCCTGTTCTGGGGAACTGAGGGGGTGCGCCCCGGCCGGGAAGCGGCAGGCCGTCGTGTGCGCTCCTGCGTGTCGGCGTCCGTGTGCGCACGGGCGTGCGTGAAGGGCGGTTTGTGTACACGTACGTGGCCCGTGTGTATACACGTGTGCTTCCTGGGCTCTGCGCACATACGTGCACGCACCCACCCGACATCTCCGTGCATGCTGGTCCGTGTGGGGGTGCGCCTGCACGTGTGGGTGCTGTGTACTCACGCACAGCTCTGCACACGCATGGGGGCATATGGCACGTCAGTACCCGTGGGGACATGCGTCGGTAGGTACAGCACACGCGGTGCGCGCACCTGCTCAGGGAGCCCCTCCACGGGTCACACACTCCGTGGAGACCTGGCTCCTGGGAGTCACTCTGGCTTTGGGGACCCTTGCAGGCCCTCAGTGCAGTAGACTGGCGTCACCTTTTTCTCCATCCTCCGGGTGCAGTGGGGTGGGTCAGGCCCGCCGTGTACAGGGACAGAGCCAGACTCCCAATTCATCAGACCCCACAACCCTCGCCATGAAGCTCCTGGCAGCCGGCAGGGCAGGCGGGACTGGGAATACCGCTCAGGGCTTCCAGCACAGCACAGGTTCCGACCCGCTTGGGGGTGGTCTGCAGCAGCACCCACTGGCTGCCATGTGCCTATTTAAATCAAGTAAAGCGGAGAACTCAGGTCCCAGCTGCACTGGCCGCAGTTCAAGCACTCTGGTCACACATGGCTGGCGGCTGGCGCGCTGCTCAGAGGTAGATAGGACCTGTCATCACAAGCATAGCTTGGGGCAGCACTGGAGACTAAGAAAAGCCACTGCACACCTAATAAAAACAGCAGGCTCTGTTCATGGTGTTCCTGCACTTAACTGCTCATCCCGGGGGGGAGGTGTCACCTTCCCACCACATACCAAGCACTGAATGGCCCAAATCTGGGGCACCAGCCCCCTCCTGGCCATACCAAGTGTGTGGCACTGATGGTCATGCCTCGGTCATCAGCTGCATGAATGGACACAGCACTACGATCAGTGGGGAGGCTGGTGTGCAGCTGCTCAATAGAATGGGGTAGCGGGGGGTGATCAGAGGTGAGGGGGACAGGCTTATAGACAGAAGCTACTCCTAGCCACCAGATGCCCAAACTTCCACCCGTGGGGAGTAAGGTGCCAGGGCCCTTGGACATGGGCCAGCAGCCCTGTCGGCACAGCTTAGAAAAGCTTGGGACCTCCCTCGTTCATGCCCATGCCTGGGTGGGGACTGGGCTCTCAGAACTTCCACACCACCCTGCCCATCACTGTCCCTGGAGGCATGGAGCCATCACAGGGCCTCAGAAAGTGTCATGCACTTTGCGGGGGGGGAGGGGGGAGGAGAAGCATCTTCTTGCTTAGAGATTCAGACCCAAAGTTCTAGCAGGTCCCCCTACCCTGTTGTGAATGGCCCCAATAGGAGCCCTGCCTTCCTAGCATACTAGGATAGCCCAAGGAGATGGGAAGACTTTCCTGGGGCCGTGGTGCATGATCCTTACCCTTACCCCAGGAAGGTTTTGGATTCACACCAGGACCGCACCACAACCCCAAGCAGACACCACAGTCCACACACAGCAATGCTCACATTATTTTAATGAGTCCCATGTGCCTAGCGCGGCCTGCCAGGGTGGTCATCTGTGCTCACGAAGCTGTGATTCTTGGCCCCAACACCTTTAATCCAGATGTAACAGACACTGGACAGAGGTCACACATCCACCGAGAGAAATCAGATGGGACTGGCTTCCAGGTGAGCAAACAGCAGAAGTCCACTTTAAAATGGAAAGGAATTGTAAAATAATAATAAAATTTAAAAAAGTCTTAAGGGAAAAACCATTCCAAGAGAAAGGAGCGTCCCTAAAACCAAAATGTTGCATATACTTAAATTATCAGGTAAAAACACTGCATTTAAAAATACCTTGAGAAAAAGGGTACAAACTTCAAGGTGCTTTCGTATCATGGGCTGTGGGGTCTCCCCACCTGGCCTGTAGTGCTTTGGGGGCCCGTGTGGCCGAGGGGTGGGTGCCTACCCACCCACTGTGCCAATCAGACTGAAATATAACAGACTAAAAGGAACAGGTTGTGCCCCAGGGGGAACAAGGCAACCAGGGCTGCCTCTCTCCACCACTGGCTGGTGACACGTGTGGGGTGGCTGGGGGCAAGGACAGTCCTCTCTCCTGGGAACCTCGATTACAGTAACAGGGCAGCCTGCCCTCGGGAGGCGGGAGAACAGGCAGACGGGCCATCCCTCAGTCCACGCGGGGGGTGGGGGGCATGCTCAGGAGACACTGGCTCTGACTTTGTCTCCCCTGGAACCCAGCCTCCCTCCGCCACTGAGTACCATCTAGAAGGACAAGCCCCAGAGGCCTAGTCGTGCCGCACGGGCGGCTCCTCCCCACAGGCCTGGTCTGAGTAGGGGGGAGGTGGGGGCTGCTCTTCCCCCAGCATGTAGGTGGGGTGGCTGCGGCTGCGCTTGGCCTCTTTGATGTACAGCTCAAGGAGGACCTTGGTGGGCTGCTTATCCACCCGCTCCTTGGGCACACCATGGCTCAGCAGCCAGCCCATGAGGTCTTTGCGTGTCGGGTTGGGCCCCAACATGAGCTTGGCGCGGCCCGGCTGGCTCTGGCGCCAGAGCAGGCCCACATCAGCGATGGTCTGGATCTCCATCACCGCCTCCAGCACCGTCATACCCTTGACCAGCAGGCTGACGAGCGAGAGCCGCAGCTCAGAGGGTGCAGCCGTCAGCAGGCGCCGCTGGAGGCCCTGCGTGAAGGGCACGTCCTCGGGCGCGGGCCTTGGCCCCTGCTCTCCTGCAGGAGGGGAGGGCGGCTCGCGGTAGATCCAGTCCAGCATGCCCAGCTCACGCACCAGCTGGATACCCTCCTCCATGGTGGTCCAGGGGCGGAAGGGCAGCTCGGTGGCCTCGAAGTGCAGGAAAGACTCCCAGCGCCGGCGCCAGGCCAGCAGCAGCCAGGTGAGCAGGGCCTTGCAGCCGCCCCGCAGGGTCTTGCAGCGGTAGTTGAAGATGGCATCGCTGGTCAGGTCACCCAGCAGGGCTAGCTCTCCAGAATTCAGGGACAGGGCCGGCCCCCCCTGGTCATAGACGCGCAGGATCCAGGTGATCATGAGCTCATTGGGGTTCTGCTTGAAGCGCCGAGAGATGGCCAGGAGCTCGGTGTACGTGTAGTAACGGTCCCCCCGCCCCATCTGGGTGGGCGCCAGTGCTCTCTCGGCCATGGTCACAGCTGTCCCCTGCAGGGAACAGTAGGAAGCCCGGAGGGGCGCTGGCTCAGGAGCTTCAGGGAAGGACAGAGGCCATCAGGTGGGAAAATAGCCACACCCTCCAGGACCTCCCCAGAGTGGGACCCCTCAGATCCCCGGGTGTCAAAGGTCCCGGAGGGCACTGTGTCCTCAGGGGAGGTCAGAGCCCAGTGCTGGACATCATGGGGGTCCCAAGCACAGCCCCTTCAGAAGCCCTGACAGCGTCAGGGCAACCTCTCTCATAACCGCCTCCCCTTGCCACCCCTCACTTCACAGGGATACTGTGAAGAGTAAGTGAATCTAATGCTTAGCACTAGGCCCAGCTCTAAGTAAATGCTCAGGATTTGCTTTTATGTTATTACCATAAAACGACAAGTTTATTACCATTATGGTATTAATAAGAAGAGAGACCCTCTTCTGTTCTTACCAAGCACAAGGATGGCGGGGCTGTTCAACTCCTGGAGGAACCACCTGCAGACCTGAAGAAGTTAAGAGCAGGTCAGCGGGGCCCAGGGCAACCATGGCCCTCCATCCCTCCCTCCCCAGAGTGGGGGGCCCCTCAGATCCCCCGGGTGTCAAAGGTCCCGGTGGGGGCACTGCGTCCTCAAGGGAGGTCAGAGCCCAGTGCTGAGCATCATGGGGGCCCCCAGTGCCCTTGTCCACCTCCTCACTCAGGTCCCAGAGCCACCTGCCTCCCGTCCTAAGGGGGCTGACAGACAAGAGCTCATGCAGGTAGGACAAATGACCAATACCTGGCCATTGGGATGCCAAGGAGCAAGCCCCCATCAGGTGCCTTTTGATGCCATACCCCCCCCAACCTCATCTCCCCTTGACCACCCCTCACTGTGGCTCATCCATGGGTGTCACTTGTATGATCTGCAGCAACTGACTTTAGCACCCCCCTCTCCCAACCCCGGGGCTGTTTCTCCTCCTGGAAAATGGAAGAGATTTGCCTGACAGACCCGTGAGGAGAAGGGGGCCTCCCTCCTCTGCTCAGATCCAAGGAGCGCCCTCCTGAAAACACCCCCATGTCTGCCCGCACCTCAGGTCTGTTCCGCACCCCCCACGCACCATCCAAAGCCTCCAGTTCTGCTCCTCTCCCCTCACCTGTCCTTGCCGAACAAATGGACACTTCCTACTCCACTTTCCCAGAAATCCCCTCTCAGCAGCAATGAACGGTCAGAATTCTGCAGGGGGAAACCCCAGGCGAAGTGCACCAGTCCTAAGACACTCATGATCTGAAATCTGAGCTCACTCATCACGGAAAGTAGTTTCTCCTCCCTAAAGGGCTGTCAGCAAGAGCTGAAACCTCCAAGGACGCCAGAGAAAATACACTTGCAGTTCTGTTCCCAACAGAAAAAAAGCGGCCTAGAGCAGAGAACATTTGTTTCTTTTCAGGTAACAGGTCTCTATGCCCATTTTGATTTAGTTCTTTGAAACACTTGTGCAACATTCCCCAGATAAATGGTCCCTTTAAACAATGGTTATTGTGTAAATCAAGGGTAACTTTAAGAACTGTATCAGTTTATATATACAGGATTCTTGGGAAGCTAAGCTCTGCAAAGTACAAGGTATTCAATCTATAAAACCCTCAGTATTAACAGTGATAAATGTTGCCAAGCTTGTTTCTTTTTTCTGACTTTGGAAATTAGATTTCTGATTAGTCCTTTTCCTTGAAACCCAAATACATGTTTTTCTTTCACAATCTATATATTTTCCATCTAATTCAACCCTTACCTTTGAAGATGGGAAACATCACTGCTGCCCCCACCCCGTCCCCCACTGTGCAGAGGATTCAGGCCCATATGCTCCTAATGTGTTGTGCCTACTCTACAGATTTAGAAACTGAGGCTCAGCAGACCAATCACTTGTCTAGTTCTTGAAGCCCATGAACAGCAGGGCTGGGATTTGGACCCAGGCCCATTCTGGCTACATTCCCACTGCTATAAATGAACAGGGAATTGCACGTACATCCCCAGCACAAACGTTGGCACACCAGAGATAGCTGATGTGAAGTCACCCCAAATGAAGGCATTTTAGATTGGGGGGGGGAAGCGTGTGGGTCAGGGAGTGGAAGCAAGGGTTCTCACCAATATGGGGTCATAGTAAGTGGTCCCTCAGCTTGAAGATACACCTGTAACACAGGAAGGACGTGGTGAGGGTGGAGGAAGAAAACAGTCTGGGGGAGGGGCATCCAGAGACATCAAAACCAGGGCCTCTCAGATCCCCAGGTGTCAAAGGTCCTGAGGGGCACTGCATCTTCAGGGGTGATCGGAGCCCAGTGCTGGACATCATGGGAGCCCTGGTCCCCAATGCAACCAGATCCCAAGGCCACTCACCTTCAGGAACAGAGGCCAAATTAACTGCACTTAAGAGACTGGGAAACACAAAACCCATCAGGAAGGTATGAAAGCCCCCTATGGGAGACATCACTGATACCCCACCTCCCCAGTGTCACAGGTCCACAGGGGACTGTCCTCAAACCCACTACACGGAGAAACCCCAGTGTCTATCAGCCCTTGCCCAGTTTTACAGATTTTCAGCATTGGCTATACCTGTTAGTAACCCGAAACAGTGAGAGCTGCTAGGATACACATCCATCCCTTGGAAGAACCTATTGGCAGATAAAAGGAGGGAGCTAGTCTAGGAAAAAAAACCCTAAGATATAAGCAGCATATGCAATGACCAGAGAGCCTTTACTGCACCATTTTGGAGCAAATCAGCTGAGGAAGACATTTTGGAGAGAACTTCGGAACCACAAACATAATAAAGTGTTAGCTATTTTCGATGAAATTAAAAACATGCCTTCAAACAGGAAGCACAAAGAAAACAACCGTGGCAAAACGGTACAACTTAAGACTTCTGTCGAGTTCCCAGCACACTTGAGGATTTTAATAGCAAGCGAAAGGACTACATCGGACACAGCGACAGAGGGCGCGCCAGTGATGAAATCCTCCCCCTCCTGACACCGCCACAGTTAGGATCAGTCAAAGATTTTCCAGGGGACTGCTGGAAGGGAGAAGAAACTCAGCTAGAGGGGATTTTTGCTGGGTCGTGGTGGGGAGAGAGAACATCAGCCAGCTGCCCCGGGGCTGGGTCTCCTCGGCAATCAGGAAAACCGGATGGACGTCCAAGACCCCAAGGACCAATTAGCCCAGAAGTAACGTTTCACAAAACTGAGGCATGGAATGAACACCAAACTCTGGTATCTGTAGGGACCGTGTCAGAATGATTCCTGAGGGTAAACAAAAGCCCCATTTGCTTTCTCCTAAAAGAACACCCACGTGGTTCTCAGAAACAACCCAGCAGTTCATTTCGAGACTCCGCTCCCCCTCATTCCTTAGAAAGCCCTGGGATCCTGCCTCTACCCGCCCCCCCCCCGTAACCTTTGTTCTAGGTTGTACAAAATGCCAGCCACGTGCAGTCGAAAAAACAACAGCGACTGCCTAAGGAAGACACGTGTAGCTAGCACGGGAGTGGAAAACCTCAGAAAGAAAACCTCAGGGTCACACGCGCTCTCCACAAAGACAGCCCCTCCCCCCAGCCCCCCCAAGAAAAATGGACAAGATGGCGGAGCCCTGCGACGTGGGAAGCAGAGATGGCGCAGCCGGCCTGCGGTGCAAAGGCGCGCCAGCTCTGGAAGCCCTCCTTCCCTCCGGCGGCAGGAGTCCTCCCCACCCTGAGCGCCTTTTCCAAAGGGTGCCCGCCCCGCAGAGAACCCCAGACTCGCGTCGGAGAGCACGCTGGGGTCTCACAAGGCCCCCGACGCCGTCCACGCGACGACCTGGCCGCCCCGCCGCAGCCCCCGGGCACCTCATGACAAGAGCGACCCAGACCCCAACGCCCAGCCGCGCGAACGCAATGGAGCGAAAACCCCAAGACTTACTCACCCATCCCTCACTCTCTCCAAAGCGTGCGCGGGCGGCCTCGAGTCCCGCTTTATAGTGCGCGCCGCTCGCAGGGCCCCGCCGCACGCTCCCGCCCGGACTCCGCCCCGAGGCCCCCAGCACGCGCGCCGGTGTCGGGAACCCAACTTTGGCGCTTGGGGAAGCGAATAATGCCTGTTCTCGCTAAAATCTTCCTGAACAGACCACATGATGTTGTCCCTGGAGTCAGGTAAAAGGAGCAGTGGGATATCGGGCCCCGTTGTCCTGTCATGAGCGTCAGGCTATTCTGAGGACAGCACCAAAGGCAGGCTGAAAAGGGGCAGGACCCCGAATGAGGACGGAGCCAGACCCGGAGGCAACTGGAATTGCCAGCGCGGCAGTGGCGTGAGCGGTGGGGGCTGGAGGCGGGGCCGACCCAGACGGAGTCCCGGCGCAGGGTGGGGGCGGGGCCAGCGCGGAGATTGACAAGGGGACGTTCTGGGGCGGTGCTCGCGTGGCGCAGAATGAGAGTCTGGTCCTGAGCAGCGAGAGGAGGGGTCGGTGGCTGGACGCCCGGGCTGGAAGGCTGGACTTCTGGATCTAAGGGAGGAGGGGGCTGGGGGCCAGGACTTCTGGGCTGAGTGAGGGCTGGATCTCCTGCCCTCACCCCCCCTCCCAGTTTAGATGGTCTAAGACCTGGGGGCTTGGATTCTTGGTAGGGTCGGAGCTCTAAGGAGTGTCTTTCAACTGACATGATTGTAAACTTTTTTTTTTTTTCAAAGATAAAAAATGAAACTTCTTCACTTCAAACCCACTCACCAGAGTCGCCACTGTCGATGTGGTGTAGACTTTTTACTTTATGGCTACACACGCGTACACATATGCTCCGCCCTCCCACTCCACTTTGTCCCATAAATAGCCTTCCCCTCCACCAGTACGTACAGAATGACTTCATTCCTTAAACAGTGGCAAAGTAGTCCCTTCTGTGAGTGGAACACACATTGTTTAGCTGGTCTCCCTTGTCATTTGGATTGTTTTCTTACTTCTAGTGAGGAGATGCCTCCCATGAAGCTTATGGTCTGAAGTAAGAGACCTATACCCTTCTGTTAAAAGAAAATGAGACATTTCCTTCACTGGCTTTTTCCTCACTCAGAGAAAAGCAAAGCCCT